AAAAGGACTAAAAATATCATGATACAAAATAGTAAAAATAAGAATTTATAAGAATAAATAAATTATCCTTGCCTAACTCAGATTGAGGGTTTTGTCAATACTGTGCAACAAGCTAGAGTTACACATAAACTATTTGACTTAAACATGTAACTTCCTCTGACCTGAAAAAAAATCCTGAAAACTAGCTTTTGAGTGTTTCTCATCATGTGTATTTGTACAATAAACCAGCAGGTATGTTTGTATTTATGCATTTATGTTTTCAGCCAAGGGAGACTGACAGTATTTTGTGTTCTTGGGTGGGATGCTTTATTCCCACTATATTCCTCTTAACCTAAAAGAAGGGATTGTCACAATTTTTAATGAAATAAATTTAATTTGACCTGGGAATGAAAATCAGGCAAAGAAATGATCTGGGCAGGTTGACAGCAATTTAAGTAATTGCAGAAAATAAATTTTAAAAAATTTAGCCAGTGATAGGATTCAAACACCTTCCTCACAGGTTTGTACCTCAGCTAGTTTAATACTCAACTGGTATCAGCAAAGTACAAGTTTGAATCCTTTCAAAGCTTGAATCATGAAGGATGACCCATGCATACATACATACATACATTTTTTATTGCTTTCTAATACCAATTTACAAGTTTTTATGTGCCTTACAGTAGCTTGAGTGCTGTTCTGGGGTGGTTGTATGTTTCAGGTAAACTATTACAACTGCATTAACAATTGAAAGTACTTATTCAGCCTTTATTGGTGCAGGATTTTAGGGTAACATCTGAAGGGACAAGGCACCCTTAAATGGTCTCCTGTACACTTCCCTGGAAAATGTAAATGCTTATACAACTGTAACTTTTTTTTCCACTCCAGATACATCATTTTTAAAGCATGCTTTCTTGCCTTGTGATAAAGATTGTTTGAAGGATTTTGATAAATTTCTGGGACCATTCTCATCTCATTCCTTAAAGGTGGAGGGGAAATATGTGTTTGTTGAGGTAAGAGAACCTGTTTTGGGGAAGACAAAACCAACAGACCCTTGTGTTACTTGTAATGTCACATGATAGTTGTTATCCAATAGGATGCCAGATTTTACACGTGCTCGCGATCTTGTACTCGAGTCTTCAGTGAACCGACTTATGGATTAAAAGT